AACTAACTAACTGAGAAATAAATTAAAACTAGTAATTTAATGCACACAACGTAAAAATAAACATTTTAAACAGTACAAGGAAAAATAAATAGTAAACTAGTGCAAATATGAACTGACTGGTTCTGCCTCCACTAATTACTTGCAATTATTTTTAGGATTTTTAATTTTCATAAAACATAACATTATCAATTATTAAGCTTCAATTTATCGTAATAGAAAAATGGTGAAAGATTCTTACCCTGAATCGGTGTCCGAAGCACTGTACTTTTCATTGCGACTTCTAGCGGTCCCTAAGTTTCCTGAATTTTTCTTATAAAAATTAAAACACTCATCACGTATCCAAAAATATATCAAAAAGCAAAAATAAGCGTTTTAAAACATTTATGCCCGATTTTAGAATTCCGGCAAGGTGGCGCTGCCGTGCTCTGGCGGCGATTTGCCACGACCTGGCCAGTTTTGACCGATTTAGGCAAGTTTTCGCCAGTTTTACAAATAAACCTATGAAAAAACGAGTTAGGAGGGCTTGTTTGGGCAGAAAAGACAAAAAAACCGAAACCTACCAGCGGAGGGTCTTCGGGTGCAGCAGCTCCGCCGGTCCTCCTTCGCGGCTGGGGTCTCTTTTTAGCTAATCTGCACTAGAAATGAATGGTGAACGTGACGGTGAAAAAATCACATGGTGAACACGACGATCAAAATATCACGTGAAACGAGAAACAAAAAGAGGATCATCAGAGAGGATTTAAGTGGCCGCGACAGCTCGACTGGGCTTTGTCCGTAGTTTCCAGCTCACCCGTCAATCCTTTAGCTCCAATACGGGCATGGGGAGACTCGGAATCAAATTCCAAGTGGGAAGGAGGAGAAATTACCTGTTTTGGCGTTGGCAGTGGCTCCAGTGCGGCGACGACGACAGTCGGTTTCTTTTCCGGCTGCTTCTCTTTTTCTCCAACGAGAATTGGTACGGCTATTGTTAGGGTTCCCAGGAACGCAATATTTAAATACCCTCCCCGAGTCAATCTCGGCCGTCCGTGCGGAAACACGTGACCCTCTCCTGTTCGTTGGATCCTTCTTATTCGGAGAATGAATCTGGGCCGCATGATTGGATTGAATCTGACCGTTCAATCACGTCTGAAGGGGAAACTTATCTGAGTCGTCCGTGCGCGGGATGTGATCTGCACCGTCTGATCGCCCAGGCATGCGGATCACCCTCGTGGCCTCCCGCGTGGAGCCAATGTCACGTCTCTGCCATGCAGTGTGTTCTGATTCACCGTGGCTACTGACATGGCCGTCCCACGTGGCCATAATTTTTTTTTTTTCGATTTCACCCCCTGTTTTTAAATTTTCTTTTAAAAACATCTCTCTTATTCACAATTTCACCCATTTTCCCCTGAATTATTTTTAATTTTGTCTTTAATTCATTTTTTTCTCAAAAATTTAATAAAAATTAAATCAAAATAAAATTTAATTATATATATTTTATAAGTTGGAAAAAATTATCCCGGGCCAAATTCGGGACCCGAGTGTTACACTAAATATCCACGCCTTTCAACAAATTCAACTGCCCCAGTCTCTCCATCAATCTACTAAATGCCTCCATAATGATAAGAAAGATAAGTGACGACAAAGGATCCCCT